ACCCATCCTCCCACTCACCACCTTGACCTGACGCAACCTGCCCAACTTCTCTCCCACCCATCCGCCCCACCCTTCTCACTGACCAATCCCCACAATTCCCTACCTGCATCCATCTATCACTATCCAACCTGCCTTTTCCCAGCCCCACCCCTCCTCCCTCTATTTATTTCCCAGCTCCCTTCCCCCTGCCCAGTTCTGAAAAATGTTGACTTTCCTGCTCCTCTGATGCTGCCTGGCCTGCTATGTTCCTCCAGGTCCACACTGTGTTGATTCTGACTCCAGCATCTGCAGTTCTTGCTATCTCCTTGTATGTTTCTGTGGCATTTTTGTTCAATCTGTGGTGCTATGCTTTTTCTAAGTGAATTTATGCATTTGCTGTATTTTGTTATATTCATTCCAGTTATCCTCTTGGACCTTTTCCTCCCTTTTTATTTTTACTCAATTAGCTTCCTGATCCATTTTGGGTCACGTGTACAATCTAAGCTTTGACATCAGGTATTTTGTATGCTCAGCATTATACCTCTCCAGGCATGCCACACTCTTAAACGTTGCCAAACAACCGCTGCTCCTTTATTTATAAGCTTACCTATGAATTAGGAGCAGCAATAAAGTCATGATTAATCTGTTTACTCCACATTCCTGCCTGACCCCAAGGAGTATTATAGATGAGGAATAGGAGTTAATGGTGTTCATGATAGGTGTAAATTGGTCAGCTCTCTGAGAGCTGAACCATGCAAAAAAAAAAGATGAGTTTGGGGCTAGGATAAGCAAAATGGAGTACAGTGTCCATGGTCGGAAGTTGTTGATATCAATATTGAGTCCTGAGGGCTACAAAGTGCCTGAGTGGAAAATAAGGTTCTGTTTGGTTTGTGTGGAAATACTGCAGCAGGCCGAGGACAGATATGTTAGCTTGAGAACATGATGGTGCATTGAAGTGGCAAGCAACTTGAAGGTTGGGGTTATTGTTACTGACTGAGTGGAGATGTTCTGCAATGTAGTCACCCAGTCTAAGTTTTGGTTTTGTTAGTGTAGAGAAAACCATACTGAACAACAATTACAGTAGGCTAGATTGAAAGAAATACAATTAAGAGGGAAGAAAAAGACTCCAATGGAAAGAAATGAAAGGAATGTTCATTTGGACAGGAACAGGCTGAAGCAATACATCTGGCAGGTCAGTCCTGATTGTGGATTTTAGGAAGGATATAAAAGGAGCCCATTCCAGGCATTAATTTAATTCAATAAGCCTTCTCCAACAGCTTCCAATGCATTTTCATCCTTCCTTGAATAAAAAGTCTAATACTTCAGACAGTACACTACACGAGATGTGGTCTCTCAAATATTCTGTGTAATGTAAGCATGACCTTCCTAATTTTATATTCAATTCTCCTCTCAATTAATGATAAACTTCTGTTATCTTCCTTAATTATTTGCTATACCAATGTTATGAAGCAGAGGTTGACCCCTCCTCCCCCTTTTGAGAACAAAAACCGAACCATACAAAGGAGTGCAGCTCACTCTATAATCTGTTAAAAGATGTGTGAGAAGCAGTGTAATCTGCCTTTCAGCAACTTCTAGTTGTTAAATAAACCAAATCCCTGACACTCATTTTACGATCAACAAATAACAATTTATTTATCTAACTCTAACAGTGAGCAAATTAACTAGACAATTGACAAACCAAATAAACCCTAACTATTAACCATTGCCAAATAAAACAAGATTCTAATGGTATGCTGTTCCAGTAAATACAAGTCTCACTTATATAAAATAAATAAATAGAATTTAGTCTCTCGAATTTACGGCCAGGTTACTTGTCTTCCAGAGCCTTCTGTGACTTCTTCGTCGAATGTTCTGTCAGGAACGCCTTCTCTGTCGATTCTTCTGTCAGAAATATTAACCAGTTGTGGTGTTGGTACCTTTTGATTTAGACGGTGCTTTCCCTAAGACTTGGAGAAGTCTGTGAGAGCCAGTGATTTTCCCTTGTGATCTGAGAGCTGTTAACTCTAGCAGATGGCAATTAGATCTCCTGCCTTTGTCCAACTGCCCTCTTCTTTTATACACTTGAGCTATCAATTTCTTACAATAAGATTAGTCCTATGTTGTCAAAACCATCAGATTTAAATTTAATTGGTTTTTGGTATCTAAGTGCCTGGTTCAAATTGATTGGCTAAATTCAAGACCTGTCTTGATAACAAAACAAAACTGCTGCTTTGTCTGCTAACTGTATGGCCTTTTGATAAAAGTGTTTCAATTTGGGTGCTCTCTGTTCTTACAAGCTTTCAAGCTGCTCACATTTGTCCTTTTTAAATCTCTAAGCATGGAAAAAGCACATCATCATCTTTTAAAGGGACCAAGCACTGCTTCTCCCCCTGGCATTTTATAAACACCAAATTCTAACTTCCTGCCTTCCAATCCACGAGTACACTACTCAACTTCTCAACTTCACAGCTCCTGCATGCTGACCTTTTGTGATTCATGACTAGGACACCCAGATCCTTCTGCATTTCATAGCTCTGTAATCTCTTACCATTTAGCTATCAGCTTCTTCTTTACTCTTGCTGCCAAAATAGACAATTTCCCAATTTCCCACATCATACTCCATTTTCTTGATCTTTGCCCAGTGACTTAACCAACCTTTTGTCCTCATCACAACTTATTTTTCTACCTATCTTTGTGTCATCAGTAAATTTAGCAAACATACCCTTGGTCCCTTTTTATCTAAGTCAGTTCCGTAAATTGTAAAATTTTAAGGGGCTGACACTGATTCGTGTGACACACCAATCATGAGATCTTGTCAGCCAGAAAATTACCTACTTACATGTTCTCCTGTTTCCTGTCAGATAGCGAATCTTCTATCTATGCCAATATATTGACCTTTTACATTGTGAGCGCTTTTATTTTCTGCACCTTATCAAATGTCTTCTGGTAAGCCAAGTACAATACATCCATTCTATGATTTCATGGTTGATCTGTTTGTGTTCAAATTCCACATTCCCATCTACCTCTGTTCTCCTCTATCCACAGCATGTGCTGTTTCTTCAGAGAATTCCAATAGGGTTTGTTAAATGATTTTGCTAGTGAACAGATTATGGTAACTTTTGTTATCCATGGTAACCATTTTCCACAGTGATATGACTTCAATTTTCTGCATATTCTCTGGCTATATTATGAATACCAAATCAAGATAACCACTGGCTTATGTTAGCTCCTTGATGCAAAGGGTCATGAAAGTTATGCCTCCGATTTTCATACCGATTTCTATTTATTTGGTTGAAACTTAAAATAACTTCATACCTTCACATAAACCTTTCAATATTGCTATATTTGCTGAATTTTAACCTTGTTCAGATGTTCTGATGAGATTTATGATGGAAAAACTTCAAACATTTAAACCTTTTACCTTGGCAATCATACAATTAACATTTTTTTAAAAAACAAACTGAGAAAAACTATGAAAAAAAAACCTACACTTGTGTGATGCTAACAATTTATCAGCTGATAATATTACAAATAATCTCTCATTTTCCTTTGAACATAAGTGGTATGCTGCAAATTTTCAACTATTTCAGAGACCTTGCAGAGAACCATGTCTGGAGGTTAACGAAATGTATGTCTTGAGATCAGAGAACTACAATGAGCTAGAGGCTAAGAAATAAGGCCATTCTTCACTGAGTTGGAACAGATGTATTGAGCTATCATCAGATTGTATTCTGGCTTGTTTGCAGTGGAACAGGAAGAGTAAGATATCATTTAAAAAGTGAGCCACGTAGTTTCTGGAATGGATTTCTGAGAAATATGACTTGTACTGCAAAGTATACATTGATACAATCTGAATGTGGTTCCAATGTCTTTGTCTTGACTTTGTCATACAGCTCATGTTTGTTCTAGCTTGCTTTAAGTCATTTGATTGACATTTCTGTGGTATTAACTGGGAATTGCTGAAATACACATAGAATTGTTCAAAATAAGGCTGTATAACTCTTCTTGTCTTATTAACAATTGGTGTGCAAAATCCAATTTCCATGTTAGCTGTACAAGCAACCAATTTTATTATGTATTATATTACGTATTATTACATTAACTAGGAGTCTACCATATCCTAAATAAATTTACCCTCAAACTGATTAACACTTGGTTGATTGTAATAATTTGACTCGGATTGTTTTTAAAAGAACTTAATGTCGTTTGGCTCTTGTTGCATGTGGAATGTGGACAATATTGGCTGAGTCGGCATTCATTGCTCATCCCAAATTGCCCTGGAGAAAGTGGTAATGAGCTGCCCACCATCTTGAGCGACATACTCTGGGGTGTTAGGACACTCAAACTGCTGTTAGGAAGGGAATTTCAGGATTTTGACACCGTGACAGTGAAGGAACAACAATATAGTTTCAAACTAGGATGCTATCTGGCTTAGAGGAGAACCTGCAGGTGATAGTTCTCCCATGCATCTACTCTCATTCCTCTTTGCACTGAGAAAATGACAATGGACTTTGTTTACGACTTTATTTTTTTAAAAATTGCATCTTGATTTAAAGAAATTTTGTATGTTCGAAAATATTGCACTTTATTTTATAGAAATATATATAAGTGTGATTAGGTTATATGGAATCCACAAAGTATTGTCTGGCTTACCTTGCACACATTGACTGACTTAAAGTTAATTGCTCATAGCTCTGTGGTAAAGGCTTATTGTGTACCAAGGGAAAAGGATGCTAGCTCTTTTGAAACTGTATTAATGTACGATGCATTAAACTTTCTGTTGGTGTTGTCACCCAGCTTTATTATAAGTGAGATATTGGCAACAGTAAAGGCAATGTGTTGTTAATAATGACAGTTTTGTTATCATTTCATAAGATTAATGGCTGCAAAGATCCACATTTGTTCTGTGCTGGGCTTTGTTCCTCACAGCATGAGTAACAGCAAGAGACTGCTTCTCAAGTAAGGAAGCTAGCACTGAAGGCTATCTCTTAATTGACATTGTTTTCTCTCTGTCTTTTCAGTGCTATTTGATGACTGCAATGGGAATGAAGGGCTGGAGTTTTCAATTTCTAACCCAGACTTTCGGGTTGAAGCAGATGGATCTGTGTTTGCTGTAAAAGCAATGGCAGCCAGTGTGCCAGGATTCCTCATCCAGGCAACGTCTGTTCATGCGCAGGACTTGGCTGAAGTCAGGATTGTGGGAGAAGAAGACAATCGTAGTAGTGTTTTAAAGGTAATAACAGAAAATATATAAACATGTATGTAAAACTGACGTGCTTTGTTTTATTTATTTTCATGGGATGTGGGTGTCGCTGGCTGGCCAGCATTTCTTGCCCGTCCCTGGTTGTCCTTGAGAAGGTGGTGGCGAGCTACCTTCTTGAACCGTTGCAGTCCACCTGCCGTGGGTTGACCCACAATGCCATTAGGGAGGGAATTCTAGGATTTTGACCCAGCGGCAGTGAAGGAACGGCGATATATTTCCAAGTCAGGATGGTGAGTGGCTTGGAGGGGAACTTGAAGTTGGTGGTGTTCCCATATATCTGCTGCCCTTGTCCTTCTAGGTGGAAGTGGACGTGGGTTTGGAAGGTGCTGTATGAGAATCTTTGGTGAATTTCTGCAGGTATCAAGTAGCTGGTACACGCTGCTGCTACTGAGTATTGGTGGTTGAGGCAGTGGATATTTGTGGATGTAGTGCCAGTCAAAAATCTTGAGTGTTGGAGCTGCACCCATCCAGGCAAATGAGGAGTATTCCATCACACTCCTAACTTGTGCCTCATAGACGGTGGACAAGTTTGGGGTTGGATGGGTGTGCAGAGTCTGGGTGTGTGTGTTTGTCGCCACAGTATTCCTAGCCTCTGACCTGCTTTTGTAGCCACTGAGTTTATGTGGTGAGTCCACATGAGTTTCTGGTTAATTCTAACCCCAAGGATGTTGGTGGGGAATTCAGTGATGGTGATGCCATTGAATGTCAAGGGATGGTGATTAAATTGTCTCTTCTTGGTGATGGTTGTAGCCTGGCATTTACATGGCGCAAATGTTACTAGTCACTTTTCAGCCCAAGCCTGGATATTGTGCAGATCTTAGAACGTAGAACTATACAGAACAGGAACCAGCCTTTTGGCCCACAGTGTTGTGCTGAACATGACACCAAATTAAATTAATCCCTTCTACCTGCCTTTGGTCCATATTCTTCCATTCCTTGTACATTCATGTGCTTACCTACATCCCTTAAATGCCCCTATCATATCTGCCTCCACTGGCATGCCTGGCAGCATATTCTAGACTTCCACCACTCTCTGTTGGGGGGAGGGGGGGTGGGAAACTGGCTTCTCACATTTGTAGCATTTGAACATGGACTGCTGTAGTATTTGAGGAGTTATGAATAGTGATAAACATTGTGCAATCATCGGCGAATGTCCCCACTTCTAACCTTATGATGGAGGGAATTGAAAATTTGTAAATTTATAATTTTCAGTGAATGGTATCGATTTGTCTTTCCTGCAATGATGCTTAAAATTATTTCAGTCACTTCATTCCAAATGGCTCCATGCTAATAATTTACTGTGTAGGGAGCTTCATTAATGGCACTGAGTGTCTTGTAATCTTAATGAACAAGAGAAAAGAAAATTAACTGGCAACTCTTGTGGAAAGTTACTAATATCAGTCATTCCGTCTACAAAGATGCCAAGTAGAGCTTTATCCATGTGAGAGCAAGATGATGGTAAACAGTCAGCAGTGAAGTCTCTCTGGCTGATGTAAAAAGCAGCAGATGCAGAACCTTGATGGATTGGCCATTGACTCCTTTCAATGGTGTAACTTCATGTCTGACAATAGACAATCTAAATGTTGGGAAGAATAGACTGAGTTCTAAGGAAGTGCTCGGTGTCGTAAAACACAAGACTTTGTTTGACCATGAATTCGAGCCCACAGCACTACAACCAGATTGTTTCACTTCTGTACCAAGTGTGATTTTCTGTCACATTTTGTCTTGCTGTGTTTTTGTATGGTGTGACAATGCTGTGGCTTTAAGAGGTATGTTTTGTCCTACTTTCTTTGAGAGAGATTGGGGGACAGGCGACGAGCAGTCTGAGAAGATAAACAACTTGTAATGCTTGAGCGCTTTTTTTTAAAAGGCTGAAACAATAGAAGCAGCCTGAATGAGTGTGGTCAATCTCCCACCCACAAAACCAGAGATTTTAAGTTTTTAGTTTTCAGCAGCAATTAATGTTGGGATCTTGAAGAATTGGAAGCTATTTTTCCCTGACTTGATTACACCCAAAAGCTGCTGGATTGCATGTGAGAGATCTGAATTTGCCTGTTTGTGAAGGCTGTGTTTGTGGGATGTTACAATATTGGAACAGTTTATTAGTAATAGTTTTCTAATAGAGTTAAGTTAATCCAAGTTCTTCCTCCTTTTCTTGTGGTCTAACTATGGTGTTTGAATAAATTGTTTTTTGCTTAACTTTGAGTAGTTTAACCAATCGAATTGCACTTGGATCACAGCACCTGACATTTACCTATAAAACAAGAAAAAATTAGGGTCTAGGCTACGTTAATATATTTTGAGGGTGTCTGCTCTATCTTCATAACAATTGTCTTGAAAATATAAGCTAGAGCTTCCTTTAGATATTATAATGCATGGAAATAAGGCAAAGTGTAATTTTTCATCTGCTGATTCTTGTATTTACTCCCCTTGTTAGAAGTAGCCCGACATGAGTGATAGCATTCTTAAAAGATCTAAAATGTGACTTTCTTTGGGGAGTTTTACAGTCCATCCAAATGAAATTTTGCTATTAATTCTTCTTGATATTTCTCTAAATTATGGTTGATTTATTTATGAGAGAATAGTTACTTTTCTGATATGTTTTTTGGGATTTTAGACTGAATTTTAACTCTCAAAAATATGATTTAAGGGTCATTTCATGGTTGAAGTTTGAAACATCTAAATCTAGAATCTAACAGGCCCCACTTGGGGCAGTTAGAATTGGGATTGTCTCCCCCATATGGGAAAAGGAGCTAAAAGTCAAACAGCTCCCCCACCCATGTGGACTCTGTCCTGTTGTGGGCTATCTCTCTCCTAGGATGAGAGAGGCAGGTATTGAGGGAGATGAAAGTGGATGGTACAGTTGTTACCTTTGGTGCAGATGGGGAGGTCTTCCAAAGCATTGATTAGGCAGCACAGAAGGCATGCAGGTTTCGTGGTGCTAAGGGATGGAGTGCATGTGAACAAATGGGAAGGCTGTTATAGTCAATAGTGAGGGTGGTACAGCTGGAGCCTTGGGAGGGGGTGGGTACAGTAATGAGTGTGCGGTATCAGGGAGAAGATGGTGGAACTTAACCTCATGAGTTGGCCTTTTTTCTACAGTCCTGGGCATTTCTCCGGGCAGCTGAGACTGGTGGGAACCTCTGACCAAGCAGGTGTGCTTTGGTGTTGTGGCTTCCACTGTTGGTGCTGCAAGAACAGCATGTCTTGCCTGTTGATCACAGGGTCCAACAGGACTCTGTCTTGTCCACAAAATAGATGTGGGGGTAGTTGGTTTCCACTGTCTGCCATGCCATGGACAAATGTCAAGAACCCAGCTAGGCAGCTCTAGAATGATGGTGCTTGTCTGGGTGCATAATGGGCTTTTAAAGATGGCGGGGTGTATGGGGTGCAGGTCAGTTCCATGATATCAACAGAGTGCCGAGTCATTCCAGGAATGCCATGTGATAAATTGGACCCCAATCCGATGTGAGAGACACTGTAGAGGTTGTTAATGAGCCGGGTCTGGTAAGATACAGTGAGAACAGTTGCTGTGCCTCATGGTGGGAATCCCTCCGAAAAACTCAGCACACTCACATTTAGTCCAAAAAAATAAGATTCAGCTCCGTAGAGAGTTTTTCATATACACAGGATAGTTAAAATGCTTTATAGCCAATGGATATCTTTTGAGATATAGCTGCTCCTGTAATATAGAGAAATCTGAAAAGCATTGTGCACACAACTATGAGCCATTAACCACAATGGATGGAATAACTGTACGTTTATAAAGATTGTGCTTAAAGAATAACTATTATACAGTCATAATTGTACAGCATGGAAACAAACCCTTCAGTCCAACTAGTCCACATGGACCATGTTCCCAAATTAAATTAGTCCCACTTGCCTGCGTTTAGCTCATATACTTCTGAAACTTTCCTGTTCATGAACTCATCCAAATGTCTTTTAAACATTGTAACTGTACTTGCATCCATCACTTCCTCTGGCATTTCATTCCACACATGAAGCACTATCCATGTGAATAAAGTTATCCCTCATGTCCTTTTTGATACTTTATTGGTCAGGGCATTGGAAGAACTCCCTTAGTCTTTGAACAGGTTTGTTGGCACCTTCGTGCCCATATAAGAGGAAAACAGAGCCTAATTTTAACATCTCATTCGAAAGCCACCACACTCTCAGTATTGCTTTGAAATACCATCTTAGATTATGTGAACAAGTCCCTGGAGTGATCTTCAATTGCAGTGCTATAATTGAACTGGAGCTGACACCTGTGCAGAAAATGCTACTTTGCACTTGTCAGCACAAGGTTGGATATCTTCCAGGTGGTCTTGCAGGATGGCATTGGCTGTATCATTGTTGGAAGAGCAATAAATTGAGCTGGATAATTATCAGTGAACAGTCTGCTCATTCCCTTATGACCGAGGGGAAGGTTGTTTGATGAAGCAGGCAAAGATGATTGTGCCAGGAACACAACAGTGTTTTCTTAAAGTGTCCTGAAGTGTGAAATGCTTCTCACACTCCACTCCTATAGTAGCACCTCACTTTGCTAGCCATCAAAAGCAAGGTTCCAGTGCTGCGGTACTCCATTACTCATCTACAAAGTCTAAATGAAATTCTCATTCTGCATTTAACAGTAAGAATGGTTTTGTAACCACATTTGTTTGTGATATATTCTTTGGGAATTCTGATTAACACAATGGGAATAAATTCACTCTTATTGAAGTTAGAAAGAAAAAGTTATTTTACTGGACCGTCACCACTCGATTGCAACCCCATATTTTAAAGGACCCCATTTCTTCAAATTTTTGCAGCAGTTTTTCTTTTCTTGTAATTGTCCACAGCAGCTCACGACTGGCTTTGCCAAACACAATTTGGAAAAGAACTAAAAATTAATGTACAATCAGGCACAACTGTGTCAAATCAGCCCTATTGGAAGTTGGCCCACATCATGCTCAACATATTTTTCATCCTTT